ATTGAGTCTTCCGACCTATGAACACAGTTTATCTCTCTATTTTTTCAGGTCTTTATTAGTTTTTCTCAGGTGTGTTTTGTAGTTTTCAGTATATATATCTTTTGTCAGATTTATCCTTAAGTATTTAATATTTTTGATGTTATTGTAAAAGATATTTTAAAATTTCAATTTCCAGTTGTTTGTTACTGGAAATTGTATTTAGAAATTGTATTTAGAAGTTGTATTTAGAAATACAGTTGATCTCTGTCTGTTAATCTAGTATCCTGCAACCTCGAGTTAGTCGCTTTTTTGTGGATTCCATTAGATTTTCTACATAGATAATCATGTAATCTGCCAATTAAGGCAGTTTGAATTATTTCTTTCCAATCTGGATATGTTTTATTTATTTTTCTTGCCTATTGAACTGGCTAGAACCTCCAGTACAATGTTGAATTGAAATGGTCAGAGTGAACATCCTTGTCTTGTTCCTGATCTTGGAAGGCATTTAGTTTTCTACCATTAAGAATGCCATTAGCTGTAGGTTTTTCCTAGACACTTTTTATCAAACTGAGGATATCACCGTCAATTTATATTTTGCTGAGCATTTTTATCAGTAATGGATGCTGGAGTTTGTTAAATGCTTTGTCTGCATCTACTGAGAGAATCATTTTTCTTTTTGGTTTGTTAATATGGTAATATCTGTTAAAATTATAATGATAGATCAATTTTTTATTAAGCAACCTTGCATTCGTCGGATTAGTCCCACTTACTCATGGTATAAAATGCTTTTAATATGTTCCTAGATACAGTTTTATAGTATGAGTCACTAATATTTTGTTTAGAAAATTTGCATCATTGTTCATGAGGGATATTGGTCTTCAACTTTTTTTCTTGTAATATCTTTGTCTGTTTTGGGTATCAGGGTAATCCTGGCCTCATAGAATTAATTGAGAAGTTGTCTCTCCTATTTAATTTTCAGGAAGAATTTGTGTAGAATTGATATTATTTCTTCCTTGAATGTGTGATAGAATTCACCGGTGCAGTTAAAGGCACTGCTTTCCCTGTGGAAAAGTTGTTAACTACAGATTCTATTTCTTTAATGGATGTAGAGCTATTCACATTATCTATTACTTCTTGAATGAGCTTTGGTACTTTGTATCCTTCAAGAAATTTGTTCATTCTTCCAAGTTGTCTAATTTACTGGTGTAATGTTTCTTTATTGCCCTTTTTATATTTGTAGAAACTGTAGTAAGGCCACCTCTTTTGTTCTTGACATTGGTGATTTGTGTCTTCTCTCTTTCTTTGCTGATCAGTCATGCTAGGGATTTTTCAATTTTATTGATCTTGAAGAACCAGCTTTGGATGTCATTGGTTTTCCCTATTGGTTTTTAAATTTTTTATATCATTGATTTCTGCTTTTATATTAATTATTTCCTTTCTTCTATTTAGTCTTTAATTTGCTCATCTTTTTCTAATTTACTAAAATGGAAGCTGAGGTAATTGATTTGAGACCTCTTGTTTTCTGATATAGGCATTTAATGGTATAAATTCCCTCCTAAGTACTTCTTTAAAGGCATCTTACTAACTTGGATATGTTGTGTTTTCATTTTCATTCACTTAAAAACACTTTCTAATTTGCTTTTTGGTTTCTTCTTTGACCCTAAGTTATTTTGAGCTGTTGAGTTTCAAAATATTTAGGGATTTTCCAGGTATCTTTCTGGATTGACTTCTAATTTAACTCTAGTGTGTCAGAAAACATAGTATGAATGACGTGAATCCTTTAAAATTTATTTAGACTTATTTTATGTACCAGAATATGGTCTATCCTGTTAAATGTGCTGTGTGCAATTCAAAAGAATGTGTCTTCTGCTGTTGTTGGGTTGAGTGTTATACAAATGTCAAGTAGAATGAATTGGTTGGTAGTTGTTCAGATCTTCTATATCCTTACTGGTTTTCTGTCTGCTTATTATATCAATTATTGAGAAAGGGGTATTTGAAATCTCCAACTATCATTCTGGACTTGCCTGTTTATTCTTGCAATTCTATCAGATTTTACTTCACGTATTTGAACTTCTGTTATTAGATACATAAACACTTATATTGTTATGACCTCTTGATGAATTGTGACCTTTATCATTATAAAATGGCTCGCTTTCCCTCTAGTAATATTTTTTTGTCCTAAGTCTCTTGTTTGATATTGATATAGCTGCCCGCAGCTTTCTTATGGCTACTGTTTGCGTGGTATAGCCTTTTCCATACTTACATTTTCAACCTATTGTTTCTGTATATTTGAAGTGCACTTCTCATAGGTAACATATAGTAGAGTCTTGCTTTTTTATCAAATCTGACAATATCTACTTTCTAATAAGGGTATTCAGACAACTTACATTTAATGGGATTCTTCATATGGTGTGTTCCAAAGTATTATTTTTCTGTATGTTTTCTATTCAACCCATCTGTTCTTTGTTCTCCTTTTTATTTTATTTGCTTTCTTTTGAATTTATTGAACACTGTAAATGATTCACTTTATATCCTTTGTTGGCCTTTTAGTTGTAACTCTTTATTATTTAGTGATTGCTGTAGGATTTATTGTATACATCTTTAAGTTATCACGGTCTACTTTTAAGTGATATTATACCACTTCATGTCTAGAATAAGAACCTTACAATAGAGTACTTTCATTTCTCCACTCCTAACCTTTGTGCTATTGTTGTCAAACATTTTAATTTTGCGTATGTTATAGCCCACATGTTACATTGTTGTTATTTTTGCTTTAACAGTCAATTAGCTTTTAAGGAGATTTAAATAAGAGGAGGATAGCATGTATTTATTCACATAGTTGTCATTTCCAAAGCTCTTCATTCTTTTGTGTATATCCTTTGTGATGAATTCTTTCAGCTTTTTTAAGTCTGAAAAAGTCTTTACTTCCCTTTTATCTGAGAATGATATTCTGGTTGGGTGTGTAACTCTAGGTTGGCAGTTTTCAGTACTTTAAAAATGTTGCTGCATTGTCTTTTCACTTGTATTATTTCCAAGAAATCTGCCATCATCTTATCTTTGTTCCTTTACATGTAACATAATTTTTTTCCTCCGGCTATTTTCAAGATTTTTTCCATCATCACTAGTTTTAACCCATTTGATTATTATGTGCTTTAGTGTAGTTTTCTTCATGTTTCTTGTGCTAGGGGATCATTGAGCTTCTTGGATCTGTGGGTTTATAGTTTTCATTAAATTTGGGAAAGTATTGACCACTGTTTCTTTAAATATTTTATCTGCACCACCCTCTGTGTCTTTCCCTTCAGGGACTTCAATTGCACACATATTAAGACACTTGAAGTAGTCCTATAGCTCTTTTTTTTAATCGGTTTTTGGTTGTTTGTTTTAAAATTGTACCTCTGTACTTCATCTTGGATCGTTTTTATTGCTATATTGTCAAATTCACCAATCTTTCCTTTTGCAGTGTCTAATATGCTGTTAATCCCAACCAGGGTATTTTTCATCTCACACAATGTAGTTTTTATCTCTAAAGATTCAATTTGTATCTTTTTAATACATTCCATGTCCCTATTTAACGTTTTTAATGTTTGAAATGCCATCATAACTGTTTTAATGTCCTTCTCTGTTGATTCTAATATCTATGTCAGTTCTGGGTTGGTTTCAATGATCTCTTCATTATAGTCCTCATTTTCTCGCTTCTTTTTCGTTGGTTATTTTTGATCGGGTGCTGGACATTTCTATATATTTTTTAATGTCTTTAAGCTTTGTTGGGGGATGCAGTTGTTTACAAACAGTTTGATCCTTTATGGCCTTACTTTTAAGATTTGTTAAGGTGGAACCCAGTCAGTTCTCAGTCTAGGGCTAAGTGTTCCTGACTACTGAAGCCAGACCCTTGCGGGTACCCTACCCAGTGCCCTGTGAATCTTGAGGTTTCCTAGTCTGGCTGTTGGGAGCAAGCACTATTCCTGGCCTTGTGTGAGTCCTGTGCACTATTACTTCTAAGCTTTTCCAGTGGTTGGCCCCCCAGCCACGCGTAGTTTCATCATTCTGTGCCGATCAGCACGAGGTTGAATACTTGAGGAGACCTGCTACAAGTCTCCAGAGTTCTCTCCTCTCCAGCACTCTGTCCTGGAAATGTTGCTACCTTGGCCTCCCTGGACTCTCAGCTCTAGCTCCTCAGTTCAGAGAGTCTGCCAGGCTCCACCTGAGTTCCCTCTCTCTGAGCCATGGCCCGAAAACTCTCTCAGTGCAGTAAGCTGGGAAACGGCTAGTGCTCACCTCCCTTACTTCCCACCTCTCCAGGATCACTCTTTTGCTGTTTGATGTCTTGTGTCTTGCAAATGGTTGTTTTACACATTTTGTTCAGTTTTTGGTTGTTTCCGGTAAGAGGAAAGATCTGGTCCCTGTTACTTCATCTAGGCCAGAAGAGGAGGTTCTCATGAGCAAGTCTGTGCTTTTCCCAGGGGAGCTGAATGAGACTGATGTTTGTGTAGCACCTGGCACTCGGCAGATACTCAGCAAATACCTGGGTCTTCCCTGACTCTGCACCTGGTTGTTCATTCTTCCTGGTTTTACTTTGGGTTATCAACCTGATTCCTGGCTGAGCTTTAGGTCACGGCCTCTACGACAGTCAACCAAAGCAGATAATCACTTATGGGCTATCTATGTTTTAATATGATCAGTTTCAGAATCCTGCTACACAAAGAAGATGAAGGTAAATGTAGACATTTACCTTCTCTGTGAAATTTCATCTAATTCAGCCTACATGAATTATTCATTTATTTATAGTAGGAATATCAGTAGGTTTTAGAAGATCAGGGATGTGTGGTGGACAGAATTTAAGAGGACCATGCTATTTGTTACCCCTGCATAATTTTGTAGGGGTTTCCTACTAGGCCATGAACTTCAACCTTTTATTTCCTCTTTTGTCCCATCAGATTTCCCAAGGAGCTATATGAAGGACAGATGAGTGTTTGCCAGAACTTAACCTCTTCTTTCTTCTCTTGTCTCCTCTCCTGTGACAGTGTCTGGAGGCCGCAGCCGCCTGCACCTCATTGATCTTGGCAGCTGTGTGAAAGCTCTTAGCAAAAATCGGGAAGGAGGCTCAGGGCTGTGCCTCTCCCTGTCTGCTCTGGGCAATGTCATCCTGGCTCTCGTCAATGGCAGCAAACACATCCCATACAAGTAAGTGACTCTTCTACTCAAAGAATGGGATGAGGAAAGCATGGTGCGAGGGCTGTGTGTGGGATTCTCTGTCCAGTGTCATCTGGGGAGAGTTGTACTACAGAGGTACAGTATGGACCACATTGTTAGTTCAGTGCCAGAAACCAGATTTCACTAACAATTGTGTAATGCATGATCTTCCAAATTCAAAAGCTACAGAAATATTTAAATTTACCCCAACGCTAACATTAGGCTACTCAAGTCAGAAATAATAAAAAGTTATCTCAGTTGAGGTCTCCGATCACAGTTGCCAGTGGTAGATTATTGTCACCATGGTACAGATGCTTTATAGTGATGAGAGCAAGGGGCATAAGATTGAATTACCCTTCCCTTAGGAATAGGGCTGCCATATTTAACAAATAAAAATATTGGTTAAGTTTGAATTTCAGATAAACAACAAATATTTTTTAGTATAAGCATCGCCCTAGTATTGCATGAGCTATATGGGCATCCTGTATTTTATCTGGTAGTCCTATTTAGGAGAACTTAAAAAGCTTGAGGAAGTACCACCCACCATCCTATGCAGATGTTCATTTCACTTCCAAGATCCTTTTCCTCTTTCTGTTGCTGCTCCAAGAAGATGAAATTAGAACTTCTCCTATGTCTGGAATAGCCAGAGACTTGCCATATCATCTGTGCTCATGAATGACCCAGCCCTGGAGCCACCCCTCACCACCATCACCCCAACTCATCTTTGTCATTGGACAATGTGATGATGGGATGATGGGTACTCTCCTGTTTTTTCAGGCCCTGCCAATGTCCAGCTGCACCTTCCACTAGCTGAACCTTCCTTCACATCTCATAAACTGAGGGTTATAGCTGTATATCTTATCTATATCACAAGGATAAAAGGCTCAGAGTGATATGTGTATGAAAGTTTTTTGTGAAATGTATAACACTCTAGTCAATAACCAATAATGATAATGTGGTTGAGCCTATCCCCACCTATTTAAATGGAAATAACACCTACCTTACAGAGTTGCCTTGAGGATTAAGCAAATATACAGTACATAGAATCATTTTTGTTTAATCTGTAGGATCCTACAAAATATAAATTACTGTTGTGTAGGACGGAAAAGGTAAGTCGGGCAGTTTGTTCTACAATAGCTGAGGTTCAGGACAAGTCCTTGAGTCGTCCTTCCCCTCTGCCCTAAGCTGATGCCAACACTGTGCCTTTATTCTCCACCAGGAAGCCCATTACTAGACTACTTTAGGAGCTTAAATAGAGATTATAATCTTGTCTGTCTCAATTCTTGAAATTTGGAATCCTGGGATAAACCCAGAAATGGCTTTTCTACCCCTTGTGAGGATTCTTTTCTCTGAGAAAAAATTCAAGTAGAAGGTTTATATAGTTTCATTCAGTATCATTTCTGCAGTTGAATAAAGTCAACTTGTGATTACAAGGAAAGAGAGAAAGAGAGGAAGGAAGGATGGAAGGAAGGAAGGGAGGGAGGGAGGGAAAGCAGGAGGGAGGAAAAGAAAGAAAGAGGAAAGAAAGAAAGAAAGAAAGATAGAGAAAGAAAGAAAAGAAGGAAAGAAAGGAAAGAGAGAGAGAGGGAGGGAGGGAGGAAAAGAAAGAGGAAAGAAAGAAAGAAAGAGAAGAAGTAAAGAAAGAAAAGAAGGAAAGAAAGAAAGGAAAGAGAGAGAGAGGGAGGGAGGGAGGGAGGAAAAGAAAGAAAGAGGAAAGAAAAAAGGAAGGAAGGAAAGGAAGGAAGGAAGAAAGAAAAGAAAGAAAGAAAAGGAAAGAGAGAAGAGAGGGAGGGAAAAAAAAAGGTCTGCAGAGGTACTGTCAAGGTTGGAGATCTTAGAAAGGAAAGAGTTATCAGGCCTCATTGGTTTCCCTGTCCATAAAAAGGGAAGCATGTCTATTAATGTAATAACTTAATAGATCATGGCATAGACAGAATTCAAAATACCACCTTATAAGGTCACTGATTATGTATTTTACTTACATTATTTCTGTAAAGTGACATGCTTTTATGATTTCAATAGTTGAATTGATGGTGGGAGGGGTGGATGAATGCAAGCATATGAAATTACTTTTACTTTAGATAAAGTAACTTCCTTTCGGTTCCAGTTGGGTTTTATTATAAACCTAAAGGGAAACATTAAGAATTGTTTTTATTAGTAGTTCAAGGTCTCTTGTTAAATCAAACATATCTAACATCAGCTAGCCACAACAACCAGCTACCTGCCCACTTGGGAAGGCTGACAAAGTGTGAAAACCCCACTCACCATTCTCTGTAGACATCTGTCTGCTTCAGTTCCCTTCCTTCCCTTCTGGCTCCAAAGGAGTGGTGATTAAAGCGTTTCTATGTCTGAAGTTGGCACAGACTTAACATAAATGTGGTGTCTATGTAAGACACAGGTATAGAGTTGTCCCCCACCATCAGGATCCTTCTAAGGATCTTGCAGAGTTGCCCACTGCTTGATGCCAGGAAACATGGTGGCCTGGCCATGCGGCCAGCTCTGTCCTCCCCAAAACATTTGTTGGCAGTGCACTTGTGCAGCCAGTTCTATCAGCCCTCCGTCCTTAATGCCCGTCATTGTGTGTAAGCTTTCAAAGACCCTTGCTGTAATATTGTTTCAGATTCTCAGCCACAGCGTATATTCAATATTTGGTTCTGCAAATACATTTGCAAAGTGATTAATCAACTAGAAGCTATCTTCTTTTGAGGTACAGGAAGATAAGGCAAAGATTAACTCAGATCACCCAGCCAGCTGGTGGCAGGATCAAACCGCATCACTTTTCACAGCCTCAGAGACCTTGGCAGTTCGTTGCCAATCCGCTCCCCCCAACCTCATCAAGCTCTGTAATATATTAGCTGCCTTTGCTCTGCACAGCATGAGGTCTTCAGCACAGCAGGATGGCCCAGATTTCTTTTATCAGTTCAGTCGGCGCTCCAAAGCCACATCACATAGCATTTGTTAGCGTACTAAACACCTTTCCCGTGTTAAACCTTGTCTTTGCAGTAGGTTCCTAAGACAGGGAAGGTTTTCTGCCCTTGCCGTTTCCTCTTATTCCTGTTCACTTACAGGAAAAAAATGGAAAACCAAACTCCACGTTCGCTACCTTCCCCCACCCTTCCAAAACACAAAAACCCACTCACGTTTGTCACCCTGGACACTTCTGTGCTTGGAACCTGCATCATTTGTGTTTGCTTCTGGGAAATTAACTGGAATGTGCACAGAGGGGATGTAGCCTGTCCTCGTTTCTCTTCATCATCGTTCCAGACTCTGTCATGTGAGCAAGCCTGAAAGCGAGTTTGTATTCATTACCCATCACAGGTGCTCCCACGGGCACTCTTAGGTGTGCCCTCAGTGGTTTTGACTTTGCAAATGATATTGCCTTTAGATATGACACATGCAAGTGTAGAACAGGTTCCCAGCCTCAGCCACGACATAGCACAGGCTCGCTGACCAATCCAAGTGCCATAAATCAATCCCAAATGGTGACACCATTCAGAAAAGCATTCAGGGCCAGCAGGGAGACCACCAAGGGCTCCAGCCTCCTAGTCAGTTCTGCACTGACAGGCTGCACAAAACTCCCTAACTTTGGGGAACCTCTTGTCTAGGGGAAGCTGTCATAGTCCTAAGCATTTTGACAGTACGTTTGCCAATTTCCTTCCGTCACTCAGCCATTTGCTATTCCTCAACACTTCTTGGGCACTAAGGTTGTAGGAGCCTTCCCTTCGATAGACGAGAAAAATTAGGCAGAGACGTCGAAATGAATTCCCATGCCAAAAAACAAGTGTTGCAGGTACACACCACTAGAACTGGTGCCCAGAAGGGCCACCACAAGAATCTGGCAGTGTGCACTTAGCTTTGGCTAAAGTGCTGTTAGGTCCCAGCTGATCTGCAGGACTACAGTCTTTCCAGAGACTTGGAAATTCTAACGACCCCCCAGTTCTCTCGAAATAGAATTTTTCGTCCCTTTTAGATGTCTGGTAAGGCGCAGCATACCCTTCACACTTACTTTAAGCCTGAAACATTTTTCCTTCATTTGTAACTGTTATTCCATTTGGATAAATAATGACTTTAATAGGTCAAACCGTCTATTTGATTATTTGCCAACAAGATGCTGTTCTAAACAACAGATATGTTATCGCGTCCCGGCTTCCATTGAACAAGAGGTCATGGAAGGTCATTCTGTGACCCTCTCGGGTTGTGTCTGTCTGAGATGCTATCCCCAAGTAGCTTGAAGCATGGTTCTGCATGAACAATCCCATGATCGAATTGGTGCTCATTGCCTCTCTTTTAGGGTTTTGGTCTGTGTGGTTCAGACCAAGACGAAATCCTTGTGTTTTGGAATCTGTCACTGACATACTCTGGGGCTCAGGCAGCTGACTTCCTCATGCCCTTGCTCTCTCTGGAGAAGCAGGTGGAGCCTGAGGCAGTTTGCTGTCTCGAGCTTCAGTCTGCAGGCAAACACCACAGCAGGGGCCACTTTAGAAGCGGGTGTTCTACAAAAGTGATAAGGATGCCTGTCATCAGGATCTGGAACGGAGGCACTTTTCCTCCTAAGGCCCTGGTGAGGAGTCAGGAGCTAAAGTCATGTTTAAGAGAAAAGCAGCATCAGAACACAGCATTTCATTCAAACCAGCAAGCATCACTAGAGACTCAAATTCAAGTTGGTGACTGGTGGAGAAATGACAGTTTGTAAATAGAGGCGACTTTTTCAAAATGTTAACACCTCTTCTCATCCGTGCTGGAACCTGCACGCCTAAGATTTCATAAGGCCTTTACAGGACTTGCATCTCTGAAGAATGTGGACGTTCTCATGCCTTGCTTTGAGAAATATTTTCCCCCAGTAGCCATTTAGATACCGGGTTTGTCTCTGCTTTCTCAGAGCTGGAAACCCACTCAGTGTCTGGGAAGTTAGAGAAAGGAGCTCATGACCGACATGAGCTACGATACTCAGTTCCCCTGACTCACACAGGAGACAAAAGGTTTGTCCCTCG